AATCTGCAAATATAATTCAAAAAATTACAAAAAGGATGCAAGGAATTTAATGTTTTTTACATTTCCAAAAAATGTAAAAATTCAAAAGCAATGGATGAGCAAGTGTCATAGGAAGGATAAGTGGTTCTGTTTTAATAAAATAGTTTGTAGTATATACTTTCGCATGGAAGATTATGAGGATGCTTTAAAAGCTAAACTATTAAAAATATGTACAACCTAAAAAGCTGAAAAAAGATGGTAAGTAGGTATAGTCATTTAAATGTTCAGTAAAAATGTGTTAATTCACTGATTTTGATTTTTATAATTTACTATTATGTACAACTTAAAAGGTATCTATTTAATGGAATCATGTTTTAATATTTGTTATATTCTATTATATAATCCAGTAATAAAATCAGATGTTCCTTAAATATATTGAAGTTAAGGGAAAATCTACTAATTCTGATATATAAATCTTTAATTGAATCTCTTTTTCAGTATGGTTTACTTGTTTGGAGGAATTTTATATAATAATCCACTACATGCATTATCCTCAATTCAAAATAATTTAAAAAAAGTAAATTGTATTCAATCCATTATTAATATAGTATATTAACATGTTTTAGTCACATGTATACACAAGAAAGAATCTACTTCCAATTTAATATAGTGATGCTATTCTATTACATAATGTTTAGCTGCAATAATATTTTATGATTTCTGTGTAACTCTCATCGAGCAATAAGACAAAAGAGGGAATCTAATCCTTATGAAAAGGAGACCCAAAAAGTACGAGAGGCTAATTACCACCTTGAATTCCATTTTCTGATTGGACGACTGGATGACATTTTTGACAGCAGTTATTGAGGTTAGGTATTCAGTATTTTTGTGTTTTGTTTTGTTATTGTGAACCTCCTGTTAAAAATATTTACTCAATACTTCATTTTGGTTTATTTTGTGTTTTTTAAATTATATTAAAAATGTCCAATGTGTTTCATTTGTAAGAAACCTTATTCAACAATATGTGAGAAACAATTTCCATATTTTACATACTGACACCTACCAGACACTTAACTACTTATCCCTCATTTTTTTTTACCTTCATATCCATATCCTTGTAATTTAGCAATAAGCAGATCATGGTTAACTCTGTAGAAGACTTTAGAATGGTCTGTGTAGATAGCATCATTTGGAGACCCTTATGTTCAATTGAATTAGTATACAGTATTAAGTTTGTGCATGTAGAGTTTTGGCAAAGCCATGTTGTTAACCTGAATTTTATAATACCTATATAGTGATATATAGGTTTTTAACATAATGTAATTTAGTGATATAATTTTACAATCAATATATTGGTATAATGTTAACATGTAATAAATAAAAATAAACATAATTTATTTATTTCATCATTTTTTAATATATAAGGTTTAACCTAAAACACTTAAATAAAATATTCTACATTACTGAGATAAAGAGTGTTTAATTACACAAATACATAATCTTATTGTTTGGCTCATTTCACATGAATGTCTTTAATCCCCTAGATTTTTATTTTTGGGGGAAGACCTATCAACCAAACATATTTCTGAAGGTTAGGAGAAAATTTTTCTGATATAATTCAAAAATGTTTTGAAATGAAAGGAGGCGACTTTGACAATGTATTAAATTGATTTATTGTTACAAGTAGTCTAAATAAATATTTTTTTGAATGGTATTGTCTTTTGTATCCAATCATTTTATTAACAAGCTCGAGATCTGAAAATTTACCAAGGAAAATTGTTTTAGTATAATAAAAATTATAATTATGATTTTTATGAACTAAAACATCAAAAATCATTTGAAATGGAATTTACTAAATGTATAACTTTATTAGTGACATAGTTGTGACTAGTGGAAAATGGAATATAGCAATAAAATAAGATTATGTATTTTAAACATATCCTCTAACACAAATACATAACTTGAAAACTACTTACTCTTTTACATTGAGACAAAAGGTTGATATTTATGTAAAAAGTAATGAATAATCAAAAAACATGATGTAATGATTATTACAACAGCAGCATAGATTATGGGGAAAAAAAGGAAGTATTTAAAATCCATATAGAGAATATGAAGATATCATATTGTTGCGAACTGTGTTTTTTATTTTAAACATAACATTTTAAAATAAAAATGTTTATATATTGTTAAATACAAACACATAAATCATGTATGTTACAATTAACTACAAACATGACACAATAAAATAAAAATATATTATAACCTGGCCTAAAAGTTTTGAAACCCCTTAGAGAGTATGAAGAAATGTTATTACTGCAAATTTTGTATTATAAAATTTTTAAATAAAAATATTTTTGATCAGCTTGATCATTATGATCAGAATTTGATTGATATTTCGCAATTAAGGTATCATTTTATTAACAATATATTTATATTACTATTAAACTGGGAATAAGCCACAATTAAAGATAAAAATACGTTTATTGACACAGTATTGAAACAGTAAATTTACTGTTTGTATTTTGAGAACGATTTCCGAAGTGGAAATTGAAACGTCAATAAACGTATTTTTATCTTTAATTGTGGCTTATTCCCAGTTTAATAGTAATTAATTTACAATGCCACAAGAAAATAGCTTCAGAACAATATATTTATATATTGTTAAATAAAAAAAACATAAAACCTGTATGTTACAATTAATTGCAAAAAGGTCAAAAGAAACAAATTTAAAATATATTACAAAGTGGTTCAAAACCCTTAGAAAATACTAAGAAATATTGCGATAAACTTTGTGTTATAAAATTGTTATATAAAAATGTTTATAATTTAATAAGCATTATACCATATATATTATATACGTTACAATCAACTAGAAATTCAAAAATTAAATCAAACCTAAAACATACTACAATACAAATACACCTAAAAGATACTACTACAAAGAACAATGTTTATAACACAGACATTACAACTTTTTAGAAGTTTTATAGAAGCTTTGGGGAACCTGACATAAAATTCATTAATATAGCAAGGCTTACATGGATAGAGCATTTAATCAGGCAAAAGGTAGGTGCAACAGTTAGAAAGGTTTTTGACAAAACAGGGCTGATATGACAATGAGCCAGAGGAAGACCAAGATTTAGGTATCGAGACAACCTAGAGGACAATTTAAAATCTATTGGAATTAGAAAATGGAGAAGAGTTGTCAGATACAGCGGTCAATGGAGGATTGTTCTGAAGAAAGATGTGATGCCACTGATGATGATAATGATACATTGTCACAAACTATCTACACATTGTTCTAAAGTCCTCAAATCTGTCAGATTATAATATTTTAAAATATTCCCATTTTACTGTGCCCTTATTGATTGCCTTTTACAACTTCTTGTCTTTTTTTCTTTTATGATTGTAAATTTGCTCCTGTCCCAAACTTCTCATGCCTCGTTTACATTTGAGAAAATAAACCTTTTTAGTTTTAGCTAGAGTTTGTCAACTTGTTCCTGTAAGATAAGAATTTTTTCACATTAACATTATCAAATGTCTTTAGACAAAGTCAAAGAAATTTTAAAATAGTGCATTAAAATAAAATATTTGTACCTGTTTCTGCAATTTTCTCTACTTCAATATTAAGCGGCTGGTACAGTTCAACTGGATCAAAACTGTAATCAAAATAAACAGTTTGTCTTTATCCTTCTACAAATAATTTTTGGTTGGTACTCTCCAATAAAACTTGTCCTCTACTTTGAAAATTCATTATAGATTGTAGTGGAAAACAGCATGTAAAACACATAAAGTAACAGCTTTCTAATAAAACAATCTCTTACCAATTGAGGTAGCTGTTGATGTAGATGGCCCTTGTATTCGGCAATCAAATGCATTAAAAAAAATAAGTAACACAGCTTCTCTCTATAAGACATTTCTCTTTAAGTATAATATTTATTCAACACTTTGCTGCAGCCCGATTGATGTAATCTAACCGGCGACCTGCTATTTCTATAACTCAACTCAAGGAAATATCATTTTTCATTTTCATTTTTTTTTCCTAAACAAAACTTCAATAGGTCACGTGACAAAATCGTCGAATAAAAAGATAGAACATACTGATTACCTAACCTCACTAACTGATGTCAAAAATGTCATTCAGTCGTCCAATGAGAAGATGGAATTCAAGGTGGCAATTAGCCTCTCGTCAAAAAGTGGCCTCTGATGGCGGACATATCCGGAAATGCAAAGGCGCTAAATTTAAATTTTCCAACACTTGTTAACAATACCTGTAAAATATTTTTCAGACAAGAAAGTTTTAATTAAATATTAACGATAATAGTCTAAAAAGTGACACAATTGGTAAAAAACTTCAATATAAATAAAATTTCATGTGACAGTTGGGACAAACAATAACATAACCAAACTAAATTTGACTTCTTAAACAAGGAAAGAGACTGTCTATCCTTGTTTAAAGTGGCCTCTCAAGATGGCACTTCCTGTCTAACAATATGTTTGCCCCCACTACCTTTACATTCCCTCTATTGTCTTTTTGCTCGATGGTAACTCTGCAGGTACTTATCTCACACAATTTTTAAAAATTGAATGAAATAAATGGTTATTAAAAGTTCAAACGTATTTTTTTCGATATACATAGATTAATATATTTACAATCATTGTTGCTTTTCGAGTTCATTTCAAGGAGTAAAGTGAATGAATTTGAATGTAGCATTCTTAGTGACGTCATTCCCGCCGTTAGATTCTCGACGCTGATTGGTGTAAAGTTACTAGACAACCTGTCTATTTTTAATCACCTTGATGAAAAATGACATCTCGTTTCTGCGCATGGAGGTAGGATATTTCTTACCTCCATGCGCAGGAACGAGGCTAGCAGTGCCACCAAACGGAAGGGTGCACAAATAAAAACGTGCGTTGACCGTAGCTATCTTATTATAAATTTAGATTTAATTTATTTGTGAAAAAGAATAAGTAAAATGATAGACAGTTGTATTCATTTAGACAATTGACATTGACATTTTCAAACCCTCTATTCTGGTTCTGATTTCTGAAAAAGTTATACTGAATTTTGGAAGTTAGAGTAGCTATTTAGTTGGATTAAATATTTAGATTGTGATAGAAACAAATAAAAATGGTAAATAACTTTTCTTATATCATAGGATTAGCTTCTAATAATTTATTTATAGGCGCATACGATTTTGTTAGTACAACCGGGTATGAATCCAGAAACTCGTACCTATTCTGATTATGAATCAGTTAACGAATGTATGGAGGGAGTCTGCAGAATATACGAAGAACACTTAAAAAAGCGTAATCCGAACACACCTACTATTACCTATGATATTTCCCAACTGTTTGATTTTGTAGACCAGGTATGTAAACATTTTTTTACTCATTTTAGGCGGATTTTTTACACTTTACACTACTTTACGGGAATCTGGTAATTTAGATACAAAAAGCGTACTGCTTGTATGTCCGTATATATCTTAAAATAGTGGGTATTTAGCTTGGCTTCTGTACTTTCCACTACATCTTAGCATGAATTTTGAATTCTTGTTCAAATTTGATGTGTAGTGATATAATCAGACTGATATTATTACAATATTGTTTAATCTTCACTAGTGTATAATATGCTACAAATGGAAACATTTGGGTAATATAGCAATATAGCTGCAATGAAAAGAAGCCAGAAAAACTTTTGATAGAAAAGAGTAAATAAATAGAAAAAAAACTTTTTTATAATTAATATTAACTTAATAACTGTTGACCTCTTGTCTCATAAATCAAATTTGACTACACAAATAAAATCTGTGTAATTTATCTTTTTCCAACAATGTTTTTGCCTATTTTATTTATGTGTAATTTTCAGCTTTCAGATTTAAGTTGTCTTGTGTACCAGAAATCAACAAACACATATGCCCCATACAACAAAGATTGGATAAAGGAGAAGATTTATATATTACTACGACAAGCTGCAGGACATGAAGTATAATATTTTCGAATGTATTAAATACTTATGAGCTGTGAAGCAAAGTTACTTTCAAACCTAACTAGTATTATAAGTGTTTATATGTATGTTTGTAGTGTATACATTTCTGATACCTATCTGGAATTCATTTCTTTTATGTTATTCTGATTTTTTGGTCAATGTTTTTCTTCTACCTTTAACTTCTATGTATTTTTTCTAAAGTTACATATATAACAGAACCCCAAAAAGTTATTGACACGTTAGGGGCCATGTAAAGCAGATATGATGGATATGAATTACTATGATCAGGCATTGATGATTATATTGTAAAATAACAAAAAGAAAATGTGGTTGAAAATAATTCTATGTTGTGGGTGACCCATGACTCAAAAATTACAAAATTTCTTCTTAAATAACTTTAAAACCAGTGAAGTGAGCTACATATTACAAATATCGTATAACCAATATGGTCTCTTAGAAAAAAATGTTATATTTTGATAATTCAGCAGTAAATGTGTTTCATATATTTCAATGCTCTCTTAAATTTAAAAATTGTATCTATTTTATCTAAACATTAGATTAGGCTTAAAACATGGTTTTCTTTAGTGTAAGTTAACTTTGCTTCAGGTATTTTTATTATAATTTTGTATTCTATATTTTAAGTTATATGTTGGTGGTTTCTACTGAAAGGTTCAATTATTTAATTTAAACTGTTAAAACACATGTAAAATTGTTTTGCTCAGTTCAGAACACCACTAACATATCTTTAGGTTTATCCATAATAAAATATGAAAGAAATTATATGTGTTATTTCTAGTACACCCCATTCAGATGCCCATCTCAAAAAAAATATGGAAAAATACACCTGCTGCACTTAAGGTTTGTGGCGTAACTGTATCTGTGTATAAAACACCAAATGTAATATCACTAGTGTATTTAAGTCCTGTCTGTTCAAAAGTGTGTTCATAGTTTGAGCCATACCCAATCAGAAACTCTTCAAACTTTTTATATTCCACTCCTCTCAGAGATTGTATGTCATTAAACCTATTCCAATTTTGTTTGCATCATTTCTAAATAGTTTTCAAATACAATAGCATCGAATCCAAAGAATCTGACTAGTAATTGGATTTCTTGATAAAATTGAGTCAGCAGATTGATATGTAATGTGGTGAAATGTACAGTCTCATGATCAGTGAAGATCATGCAATAAAGGTCCTATATATACCATAAGATTATTATATTAATGATGTTCAAATTGAGAGAGTGAGTGTTATAAAGGATCTTTATCACTTTTATGAAATAACTAACATAGCTTATCATGCTTTGGGGTTTGTCATTAGAAATAGCAAAAATTTCAGAATAAACACAATTATAAACTCTATAATGCCCTGGTGGGACCACATATGGAATATGCTTCAATCATCTGGTCTCCTACTGCGTTTTCATACTCAGAAATGATTGAAAAAGTGTAGAAACCATTTTTAAGGTTTCTATATGTAAGGAGAAATAAGACATTGCTTGCTCATCAGCACCAGGTTTAAGGGGTCTATTGTATTTTTCTCTTATTGTATTATAATGTTTGTTTCTTTCATTTATTGTATTTTTTGTCTTTACATGTAATTACTATTAGTCTATAGTGTTTGTAAGGTGTCTTAATAAATAAATATCGCCACTACAACGATATAGAGGGACAGAAATCAACAAACTTGTATTAATTAGAATTTGTAAAGGACTTAAAACATTTTGATCTTGTAGGCTGTGAAAGCATGCAATTTAATAATAATATTACAATCCCATGCTTGTATCCAAATCCCACAATTTTTAGCATTATTATTATTATTGAAGTTGTGAGCTCGCAAAAGTTTGCTAGAGTATGATACATGCCATTTCAATTCTATGGGTTAAACATAAACACATTTAAAAAAGAACTATATTTTTTTCATCAACTTTACAACATATAACAATTTCTTTAAAACACTGCATAAAATGTTCGTTTCCACATATTAAAACCTGCGTATTATCAACTTTATCCTTGAGATATGTTTTCAAAACATCCACTTCTAACTTCGCTTTGTGAACAGTCTCATTGTACTTCTCATCAACATTTTCTGGGTTACTTAAAAATAATTCGTAGCTGAAATTCCAGTTACTCTGTAAACTATATAATTTGTTTCTTAAATAAATTGTATCAAAACTTTTACAACAGAAATAGAGTTTTAAAAACGAGTCACACTCTTCTTGTTTGATTATATCACAAATAATACCATAAAGGGATGTAATACCTACACCTTGAGCAATAAGAAGGATGTGTTTGTATGAATAATTTATAGAAAAATTGCCATATGGTCCTCGCCATACTGTATTTGAACCACATTTTAATTTTCTTATATAGGAAGACATTTGTCCTATTTCATATAATTTTATTAACACTGTAAACTTCAAATTGTCAGCGTTTTCTGTAGGTAGGGGTGTATATGGTCTTTGGAATTCTTGGTTTGTTGGTCCTGTTTTTAACATTAAGTATTGTCCTGGATTAAACATAACCTTTAAAGGTTTCACATCATTTCCATGGTCAGTTTGTTTAATAAATCGACTATACTCAAAAGTTATAAAAACTGCATCTTTACAATGTGGTTCGATATTGTTTACTGTAAATACCGTGTAAGCGGTAGGTAATATACAGTTCATATGCACTATTTGATTTTTTTCTTGTGTTTTTCTTTGGTTGTACTTCTTCAGTTGCTCTTCATAAATATCTAAAATGCATGGATTACATCCAGAGTTGCAACAGTCAGATTCAAGGGGTTCTATTGGAGGATCCATTCCCACTTCAAGGTAACAGAATCACAAATTGTAAAGTCTTTATTAAGACTATATTAAATATTTGATTTTGTTGTACTACAAGGACATCTTCACTTTGATTATTTTTATTTTGTGTTGAATATAATCTTCAATCAAATATAAGCATTCAATAAAAGAATATAGATGCATATGTCTCTATAATATATTCTTTCATACAAAGTTCAAATTTTGAATTCTGTTGTGAAAAAATAGGTACAGTCATTTTTAAAATTGCTCACCAATGTTTTAGAGAAGGAACAAAATTTCTGACATATTTGTTGTCCTAATATGTACCTTAAATTGTTTTCTAATTTAATTTTATGCATTTTGGTTTATTAAGTATGGTTAGGTAATTTGCTTGCCACTTGCCATTTCTGTTAACAAATCCATGGCATGGAGTTTTGGGGTTAGCCCATGTAAATTTTGCTGCCAACTACGAAAAATATATAAGCCCTAATGTATGCAACACGTATTATATTACCACGTGTTTATTGAACTCATGAATTTAATGAGATCGTGAAAACTGAAATTGAGATCAATCACCAACTATTGATATTAATTAATATGTTCATGCAATTCGATGTAATTATAATGTTTATACTGAATGAATGGAAAGGATGTTTATTTCAAAGCCGTGACCTAATTAGAATAAAAAACCTACAAATTATACCAAATTTTGTAAATAATAAGGATAGGATGTGTTCGTAGTTCTCTGATAATACCAACGTCAAGAACTACTGTACTAAAAAATTCGAAGAAGTTATTCATAATGGGTTTTAAGTTATGTTTTGATTTATTAAAAATACAACCACTCAGACTGTCTCGTACCCATTTCTTACCAACAGAATTGATAAGTGAACGATCATCGTTAACAATGATGTGTGTCGTAAAACTCACGTCATGTTTGCCTCACGCTCAGAGTACGAAACTATGTCTCGTCATCATGGTTGCGACAACTCTACAGTTGAGTAGAGAGTATGTGAAGATATACTACAGAAATGATCCTGTGAAGTATGATCTTGTTTTGTTTTTTGAATGCTCTGATACTAACTACAAACGATCAAATCTGTTTTCATGGTATGCTACTAGCGCCATCTACCAACGCGCGCACGATTTATTTTTGGAAGATTCCTCTTTGGATTTGAAAGTATTTATAATTCAACGTTAATCAACAAATATAGAATCGTTTATATTCGTCGATTTAATTCAAAGTTTTTGTAAAAACACCATAAAATTATCGAGTTCGAGGCGCAATCGGGTCAATGCTAATCTCTGAATGTTGGCGCCTATATATCTTTTGATATTTTTAAGTAATGTTTTGATTAGAATTTTTGAAATGTTATACAACAGTTTCCTCATTTGTAGGAATTCAGAAGTTCAAAGTGACAGACTTATGAAAAAGGAATGATAATAAACTGGTCGAACTTATAATAGTAAACTTTTGTTAGAACTATAAGTTAAGTAAAAGCTTATACAAATATGTCGTTGTGTCTATAGAAAAGAATTAAAAAATCTACGTAAATCCAAATAAACTTGATTGAGTTACATTTACATATAAAAACATTTAAAATTCGTAGTCATAACTTTATGAATGGATAAACGATTTTAGACTTATATTTATAGCACATATAAAAAACAGCCGTTTCTTATTGCACTATAATCACTATCTCTCCTTATACGTCTCAATACAATTAAAAACCAAAGTTTGTTTATTTTGTATGATAATTAAATTCACGGAATCTTCAAAAAAACTTAACTGCGCGTTCTAATGTAGATGTCGTTAGTAGCATATCACAACAATAGATGTGTAAGTTTCTGGTAAGTATCGAGACATACAGAAAACAAAACAAGATCATACTTCACAGGATCATTTCTGTAGTATATCTTCACATACTCTCTACTCAACTGTAGAGTTGTCGCAACCATGATGACGAGACATAGTCTCGTACTCTGAGCGTGAGGCAGACATGACGTGAGTTTTACGACGCACATCATTGTCAACGATGATCGTTCACTTACCAATTCTGTTGGTAAGCAATGGGTACGAGACAGTCTGAGTGGTTGTACCTTTAGTAAATCAAAGTACAAATAACTTATAGGTGTGTTAGTGTAAATAATTAAAATATCGTTGCTTAATTGCAGATTTCACGTTTATATATAATATATTATGTATATGTTTATTGAATCCAAGGTCAGATCGCAGAAACGATGGGAGAAGAGTTTCTGATAGTTTTGCGAGAACTGATAGGATAAGACGTAACGTGAAAATACAGGTTCAGAGAAATTCGTCCGATCTTGATTCAGTTGACGACTAACTCCACTGCAGTTGGTTTTTTTACCAAAAAAAGCCTAATGTAAGATTTGCGTCAATGAACCCATAATTTTCTCGGGGAATTGATTGAATTGTATAAAAGTTTTCCGTGTTTAAGCAAGTGAAAAATAAAGACTATAGTGAACGTATTAAAAAAAAAACGAAGCGTATAAGTTTTGTTAGTCTTTAAAGGAAAAAAATGCTTACGTTTTATTTTATTCTTTTTGGTGTTCAAATTAAAAAATTAAATATTTTTTTAATCCTCTACCTATTTATAACTAATAAACAAATAGTAGTTTAGCTTAGTTAGTAGTAGTTCTGTTTTAAAACCAAGTAGATTGCATTACAGGTTTCAGGAATTATTGGATAATATGGTTGTGAGTCCTTGAGCTGTTGCAAGATATTTGAGAGTTGCTGTGAGTCTTTCAGAGGGTTTAATGGCTTTTCTCATGCTATCTTGTTTCAATATGTATGGTGTTACCAACTCTAGCAATTGACAATAGACTGAGGTGACCATTCGCAAATAATTGCGCCAGTCATCTGGTTCGCCTCTCAGTTCTTTTAGTAACGAGACGTGGGAATACTGGCTTCTTTTTAGAAGCCACTCTCTTGATCATCTTGTCTTTTTCCTCTTTATCTTTATAAAAAATAAAAGAAAGCAGCCGTGTTTCCTCCATAATAAAAAAATCGCTAAACAAACTCCTCAAGACTCTGAATTAGAAATGAGGTAGAAAACGGAAGGAGAAACGTAGTGTGTATACACTGGACAAAACATACATTTTGTCGTACGTTTTATATGACCCACAAAACGTACAAGAAAACGTAGCGTGAAAACCGGAATTTACAGGTGTAATAGCTGTGTAGCAAGGAAATTGTTACAACGGTACTCAGTGTACCAAAGACCATCTATAAATGGTCTTTGCAGTGTACCCTAGATTTACCTATTTTATTTAATATAAACATTTACTACACAAGTTCATCTTTTCATGATGTAATATTAGCTTCTATATTATAACAATTTTTCCTCCAATTCTTCATGTAATTGTAAAAGATAATTCATAATGTCGTGGACCTGACGTAATCATTTAGTGAGGCCGATCTACGAACGAAACAATAATATCAGGAATTGCTAAAAACATGCAGTTCTCTTCAGTGGTAGCTAGGTAGCTAGACTGAGATGAACTAGTTTTTGCGTTAGTGAAATAGCTTTAATATTTTTATTTTTTTTGTGAACAATCGTTTTTTAATATTCTATCATTTTTTGGATCATTCTGAATAAAAAAGGTTAATTATAACTTTTCTCTAAAGTTGATCGCTTTCAAAACAATTTATAACTGAAAAAAAAACGAAAAACGAATATTGAAGCCTCAAAAATACAATTATTTTGAATTCACCCTCTGATTCTGATACTTTAATTTGGGCTTATTTAATTTAAAAACATTGTTTTTAGTTGTTTGAGGCCCTTATCATAACCTAAAAATGGATTTAGAAAAAACTGTTTAATAAATTAGAACCACTTTTTGTATAAGCGACCTCTTGAACATTATTCTGCGGTATTTTATGAAACTGATTATGCAAAAAATCTCATGGCATTGTCTCACTATATACTCGTGAATCACACCAATTTATATTGTTACGAGGGAAAATATTATGGGACTATTTTACTTTTTCGCTTATTTACATGGGCGAAGCATACACAATAAAAATGACCCCTGTAAGATTTTTCTACTGACATTTACCATTTAGTCCAATTTGTAGATTAGTCACCTTTAATTGAAAAATGGTCGGACTATAACTGGAAGGTTTAAGATTAGAGAAACATAATATGTTATGTTTATTGGAAATACTCGACATCATTAGCACGTGCAAATCCTACTCTGTCGCCTAATTTCCTACGAAATTAAAATTTTAAATGTTTTTAGGGTTAATTTTTCGGGCATGCGTATTAACGAGGTCCACGAGGTATCAGAAATCGTCAGAAACAATTAATAAAGTAAGTATACGTTAACAATAATGAATTCTAGAGAACCAATCCTGTAGGTTAAATTAAAATAAATAAACTATATTCTAGTTGTCAATTTTTATATTTTTACAAAATCACACACTTCAGGTTTTCTACAATCAAACTTAAGTTACTAACATAACAAAAAACGTAATACCTAGAATGGAACACAAACTATTCTTAAATCATTAAATAACTGACACTTATAAATAATTTTTTATTCCCATCAATATTATTAACATATTTATAAAACTATTTAAATTAAAACATATACCGCTGTTAAAAATAAACAATTCTATTCCCTCTATAAGTTTCTATTATATGAATAGTAGTTCAAATTATTCAAGAATTCAGTATATATCAACTATAAGAACCAATAATTATAAAAAAAAAGCTAAAATAAAGCTCAAAAATCCGATATTTGTTCGTACTAGCGAAAAAAACCTCATAGCTCGTAATGGAGATCTAAGTAAAAACAAAAAGAGTTATCTTAAGGATGTTATTTTAGAGGTACAGGTCTTGTTTTCGCTGACAAGTGACAGCGAATTTGATAGTTGTCACAATTTATATTTCATCAGAAATGTAGGTATTTCATTAAAGTTACCAACTTCTAAAAAACAGCCATTATTAACCATATTATATGACGTTTCTATGTTACGCTACTTGTGTATTACAATTTAAAATTGAGCGAATACTATGGAATAACATAACAATATCACAATAAATCTTAAATATCTTACTAAATAATAGTCTTATATTTATAAACACACACCTAACTACAATAATGGTTAAGAGAAAGATGCAAAAGAAAAATTTGGTCAACAAACAGGTGTCAGAAAACTTCTCTCAAGGCTCCTGAATTTTTTTTTACCAAAATTATTATATAAATTTCTTCTTGCATGATTTTTGGAACACCCTATATTTGCCACGTCATAAGGCGCATTCTCACGCACTGAGACATTTGCAAAGTTAAGTGCAAAGTGTCAAAATATATACATATATTTAATATTGCAACAAATAAACAATCGTAATTTACTTAGTAAAAATAGCTGTTCTGATGCATTTCTTAATGTTTGACAGCACGTTATACTAGTACACCAGCTAAAACAATGACGATGTTTTGCCGGCAAAGAAGGAATTTTTGAAAAATATTTTGTTTGAGTTGATG